CCGACTCTCTCTCCCTCTCTCTGTTGCTTCCACTCCCCCTTTTCTGCTTTATCATAACACTAGACATTTCTTTTTTGTTTTCTAGGTGCTTTCTTTCGCGCCCTCTACTCCATCCCCATCCCTCTCTCTCTCTTTCTCTCTCTCTCTCTCTCTCTCTCTCTCTGCGCGCCACCAACTTTTCCGACAATTTTAGCCAACAACATCCAACCATTCGTCGTCAATTTTGTTCTGAATCAGGAAAGCGGACGGAGCATAGTTAGCTACCTCTAGACACATTGACAAAAGGGCAGTCATTTTGATCAAGGAAATATTACATAATAATCTTAACTCCTCAAAGACGTAGCAGACACCTTGCGTCCGACCAGTAGCAACAGACCAAAGACAATTTTAATGTTACGGTACATTACGAACCACTGTACACACACATCAGAATCAGAAATGCAAATTTGCATATTTCACAGCACGCTCGTTGTTACCCGCCATTTAAATTTTCAGATAAAGAGAACAGACTCAAAAAAAACCTGACTGACTGAATACTGAAGTAATGCTTCCCCAAAACAGTGCGTCTTCTAGGGTTAAGGCCAGGGTTCGGGTTAGGGTTATGATGTCATCAATGGTTTAATGTCGTAATTTAACGCTTGGAATTCCCTACCGGAAAATGTGGTGACCGCACCATCCTTGAATGCTTTCAAGAATAGGATTGACATGGTCTGGAAGGCACATAAATTCTCTATGAACCTAGATTGGTTTCAAACTGCCAGAACCATGTGTCATGAGCACTAACCTACAGATACCAGAGTGTGAAAACAACGAGCGGGAAGGAATAAGCGACGAAAGCAACGAACGGCTGATAGGCGACTAGCCTGAACACAGCCGTACTTCATACTACTACTACTATTACTATTACCCTCCTTCAGGAAACGGAAGACACGGACAGAGACAGAAGAATGTGCGCAGGTCTTCAATAATTTGTTTAAGGCAGGGTGACCGCTCACATATTACAATCTAATAACGGACATAGGATCGAGGGAGTGAAGAAAGGAGGAAGATAAGAAACAAAATGCCAGTACATATATTGCCTGAACAAAGTTAAGACAAAAAACATAATGAGAACAATCGAGCTGACCAGGAGGAAAGACAACAGGAAGGAATAGGGTACCACTATCATCAATGTCTGCTCTAGACCTGCCGTCTGAAAAAGAAGAAGAAGAAGAAGAAAAAGAAGAAGAAGAAGAAGAAGAAGAAGAAGAAGAAGAAGAAGAAGAAGAAGAAGAAGAAGAAGAAGAAATTTCTTTCTCTGAAAACGGATCAAAACTACAAGCAACAACAACCACTAACAAATGCACAAATTATCGACCGTCAAAATATCAATGAAAGAGATGAGAAAAACGCCGCCAAGGCCGGGCTTGCAGGCGCCAGGGTCAAGGACAAAACGTGCAAGGGGG